GCTTATGGAATCACTTAGGTACACATTTCCTGAAAAGAAATGCTAAAGTAAAGCTTGAAAAAAACTAACACAGATGGGAAGAGTTTTTCTGCTTCATTGCGACTGGTAAGTAAACAGAAATACAGATATTCTGCCACAGAAAACTGTTGGAAAATGGCATTCTATTGGCATCATAAAAGAAAATCAATTCCTATTGTCAAAAAAAGAAAATCAAAACCACACCTTAGCTTTGGTCAACCACAATTGCTGGAGCTGCACCAACCTGATCTCTCTTCATGACTTAATGATTGAATCATGATATGTGTAGAACTCATTTACTGAAGAATGCACTTTGTTTCCATACCAATGATAAAATCTTGCTTTTGAAGATGATGTACTTCAGCTTTAACAAAGTTGTAACACTAATAGTAGTCTGTAACTTCTATGTAAGTTTATCATTCTCTTTTCATGTCACATTCAATTAGCTGAAATACAGTGAGGTCAGACACATTCAAGTTTAATTATTTGCATTTGTAGTGCATGTTCTACTGATAGAGGCAAATTTCAATTTAGCACGTTTTTACAGAAGAAAAATAATTTCCTTTCCAGTTTCACTCTTGGCAAACCCTGGTATTTGTACATAGCCCAAGCACTTGGGCAGTGAGTTGGGATGGCCTATGGAGCTGTGGGGAACTGGAATCCTTTTTCTAGTACTATATACTTGTTTCATGAGTACTGTTATCAGTCAAAGGCTCTTTATCCTTTTATCAATTGCACTATGACTTCATTGGGGTAGTGGGGGAATGGCTGATAGATTTGCGGAACTGCAGATTCCCTGCTCCAAAAGATTTAACACGCCTGGGCAAAATAAGCCTCTGAGGTGATAATGCATTGGTTCCCAACCTCGGGGCACGACCCAAATCAGGGTCATGGGGGTTCCTCAATAGGGTTGCAAAGGGCCTGCACACACATGCACACATACACACTCACACACAGAGCCCAGGAACAGCAGATGGACAGGGTCGCTGTGCACAAAGGGGGCAACGGTGGCTACCCTGCCTCACGGTTGTCACTGCCATCAGACTCCCAACAGCCCCCATGGTGCCAGGTTGGGAAGTCCTGTTGGTGGCCAATTTAGGGTCACAGCAAAAAAAGGTTGGGAACCACTGTGATAACCAGAGATCCTGGTTTTGTCTGATAAAAAATCACAAATTCTCTGACAAAAAATTGCAAATTCTCTGATAAAAACCCCAAAATCCGTTATTAAAATTAAAAGTCCTCTGCAGCCCCTGCTGGTACCCCCCAATGACCTCCAGCCCTGCTGGTGCCCCTCACTTGCCCCCAAAGCCATCCCAACCCTGCTGGTGGCCCTCATTGTCCCCACAACCGCCCCCCACCCTACTCATGCCTCTT